CCTACCTGTGCCTGGGTTTGGGCCTGGCATTAAGGACGTGGGGCACTCACTGGTCTCTGTCTCCCACCAGCCGAAAACAAGACGCTGCCGCGCTCCAGCTCCATGGCCGCAGGGCTCGAGAGGAACGGCAGGACGAGGGTGCAGGCCATTTTCTCTCACGCTGCCGGAGATAACAGCACCCTCCTGAGTTTCAAGGAGGGTGACCTCATCACGCTACTGGTGCCGGAGGCCAGGGACGGCTGGCATTACGGAGAGAGCGAGAAAACAAAAATGTGAGTGCCGTGGCCGTCCCCGGGAACTGCCGCAGCCCCGGTGCGGTCTCTTCTGGATCCTCCGCGAATAAACATGGGTTTGGCTTCATCCCCTGCCGTTGCCTTACCCTCCTGAGTTTCAAGGAGGGTGACCTCATCACGCTACTGGTGCCGGAGGCCAGGGACGGCTGGCATTACGGAGAGAGCGAGAAAACAAAAATGTGAGTGCCGTGGCCGTCCCCGGGAACTGCCGCAGCCCCGGTGCGGTCTCTTCTGGATCCTCCGCGAATAAACATGGGTTTGGCTTCATCCCCTGCCGTTGCCTTTCAGGAGGGGCTGGGTTCCTTTCTCCTACCCCCGGGGCCTCCACCGTGATGTTTTCTCCTACACACGGGTCCTCGACAGTGATGGCAGTGAGCGGGTCCACACGAGGTAGGAGCATTGCATGGGTGCCATGCCGGGTGCCCATCCCAGGGCGGGCTTGGGATGGGAATGCTCGGCTTGGGATGGGAACGCTTCCCCTGGACACGATGGGTGCCGTTAGGAACGGTGGCTGGCCTGGGGGGGCTGTGGGTGGACGGGCAGCCTTGGGGGGGGTCTGGGCCCAGGGTGGGCTGGTGCTGATGCCTCCGCTTTGGGTCTCCCCGCCCAGCCTGCAGCAAGGGAAGAGCAGCAGCACCGGCAACCTGCTGGACAAAGACGACATCGCCATCCCGCCGCCCGACTACGGCATGGCTTCCCAAGCCTTCCCGGCACAAGGTGTCAACACCTTCAAGCAGAGGCCGTACAGCGTGGCCGTGCCCGCCTTCTCCCAGGTGAGCCCGGGGGGGGCAGACAGGGCTTCTTCCACTCCAGGGGGGGACGTCTTATAAACAGGAGATGCTTGAGCAAAGCCCCGGGCGTTAGTCCCTGCTGGAGCCAGGTGCACGGTGGCCTGGGTGTCTGCAGTGTCTCTGTTCCGCCTGTGGTTTTAAAGCAGAAGGATGAAATGCGTTAAAGCGTCTTCTCGGTCTTGGCGCGGTGCAGAGCACGTGGAGGTGAAGGAGGGCTGCTCTCCAACCTGTGTTCGTTGTTTGTAGGACTACCTAATGCCCTATGGTTGTGCAATTAAAGACTATTCCAGTGGCCTCTGCCAACCGCCCTCCGCTCACTACAAGCCTTACACTAGGTCGACAGCTGTAAGTCCGAACACACGCAATGTTTCCCTTGGGATTTACGGGCAGTTTGGCCGTTTTTGCCTGGTGACCCGTGTGCCTTGCCTGGGGCCCCTCTCCTGCCGAGCGTCTCTCCTGGGGAGAAGGGACGGGGATGCCGGGAGGCAGTGGATGGGGAGGACCGGCCGGTTTGGCTCACCTGGGCGGAACAGGCAAGGCACAGGGAGCAAATGGCACAAAAGGGCACCGTAAACCCCCAAAGGACAACACTTGCTGAGTCCATGGGAGCCTCCCACCAGAAATGAGCTGGTAGCAGGCAGCTGGAAGCGTTTTCTCTGGCACGTGCCGATTCAAGCCGGTGATGTCCTGTGGGGATGCTGGGGTGAGCGTGCGGAGCTGGGGCAGACCCTGGCCAGGGCAGTTGTCCAAAATGACCTCTGAGCTGCTTGAATAATGCATGAGGAAGGATGCACATGTGGATGAGATCAGCTTAACCCAGGAGCCGCTGGTGTAGTGGGGCTTCCCTGCCAGAACGAGCGTGGTGGGATGAGCCACGTTGGCTTCTCTGGAGAGCTTGGCACATGCTGGCGGAGGGGGAGAGGTGGCCATACAGCACCCAACCCTTCGGCAGAGCGCTCCAGAGAGGCGGCAGCTCCACCCAGGGTCTGGTTCTCTCCACAGCGGATGGGACAGAAGCACAGCCCCGCTTCTTGCTGTTTGCTGGGTTTTCCCAGCAGGGTTTGCTGCTGGATTTGGGGTTTTGTGATTAGGAGCATTCCTGGCATGGTGGGTACGTGGGTCTCTGATCCTGGTGCATGGCCAGCTCAGACCAGTGACTCCCGTGGTCCCGTGTCTGTCATGGAGAGCAGAGCTGCTCCATGGCTGTATCCTCGCTTGGGGAATGATGTCCTCTGAGCCCAGTCCCCGTCTGCTCCTCAGACCAGTGCAGTCCTTCCCCACTGCAAACGATGCTTGGTACCGGCTGAAGGAGAAAATGATCCAAAACCCTGTGGGTTTCTGGTGGGAGTTAACACAGACAAACACCCCTTTCCACAGAACATTTCACTGGTGTGTCTCAGACTTGTTCGATCCCTTTCCGAGTGTCTCGCATCTCGAAAGAGCTGGAGCTCTGTACCACGGTGGGGCTGGGCAGAGCAGACCGGGGCTCTCCCGGCTGTTGCTTTCCCTTGTCTTGCCAGATACAGTCCTGCTCCGAAGAGAGTGGCGCAGCTTTACTCTCTGCTGTCTAAATCCCATTCGAATCATCTCCATATCTCCCTTTCCTCTCCAAATGCATTGGCCCTCGGCCCCGGCACCCCGGGGTCCTGATGCACTTTGGTCCGTTCGTGTGACCCTCCAGTGGCACGGCCCCCGCCCCTCACCGTGCTTCCTCCCCTCCTCTCCGCAGGGTCTCGACGACTACGGGACGAGGTCCGTCAGCAGGTAAGAGTGAACCTTTCTGTCGCGTTACCTGAAAGTGAACTGTCGGTGTTGGCTCTGGGTGAAGCCGTGGTGCCGTGTCCCCGCGGGGGTCCCTGTGCGGGCTGCCCGGGGGTC